ATTCTGACCCGCTTCTCGGGGCGGAGCCAGCCTCAGGTGAGGAGGAGGAGGCGGAGGAGGAGGAGGAGGCGGAGGAGGAGGAGGAGGAGGAGGAGGCGGAGGAGGAGGCGGAGGAGGAGGAGGAGGAGGAGGAGGAGGAGGAGGACCCTCAGGGACGGAGAACGCACGGGCAGGGCCGCCGCCGTCGTCTCGACGGGCCCTCCTCCGAGCCTCGCAGGCCCCGTCCTCTGGGCAGGACGCCGGCGGGGACCAGCAGGAAGCGCCGCAGGCCTCGGGGCCGGAGGCGGGCGGACAGCCGGCCGCGCGCACGCGCGCGCAGCGGCGCCGCATGCAGCGCAAGCACAGGCGGGAGCACATCGGCAGGCTTCGGAAGACCCCAAAGCGCCACGAGCGTGAAGTCGGGCCCGTGCCTCGACAGGGGGAATGTATTCAAAAATGATGGAAAGTATACCGGGGACTATTGTTCGATAGCGTTTTTTGCTTAAAAAGAAGAACTATGTTTGAGCATTTTTGGGGTATTGTTTGTTCGTCCACAAGCCGCCTGTAGGGGGACACGCCCGACCTAACACGAGCGTAAGCTCTCGGATCTCCGCGCTGGCTTCTCGGGCTGGCGCTGGGCCTCCATTGGGCGGCGCGCCCCGCGCGCCCGGGGAGCAGGTCCCGGCGCCGAGGCGAGAAGCCGTGCGGGCTGTGGACAGCCATTCGGGGGCGGCAAAGAGGGGGGTGATGACTAGGGGGGGGTGGATATCATGGCGTGGGCCATGATATTTCCCCAGATTTCATGGCGCCTCTTCTTATTTCATTACGTCCCTGGCCCCCCCGCTGGGCCGCGCACATGCCGCCGGTCATGATTTGCACCCCCCCCTCTTGGACACCCCCCTCTTGGCCGCTCCCGAGCAGTTGCGCATGGCCACTTCGATGTCGGCTTTGAGGCTGGTGACGGAGTCGTTCCAGACGGACCAGGAGCTGGGGGGGGAAAGAGGGCATCTCGAGCAGCGGCGAGGCGTCCCGGCTCGCTGAAGCAGTCCCACCAGGGGACGTTCTAGAGACCTTCTGTGGCTTCCGCGAGGTGTTCTCAGAATATGTCTGGCCGAGATTTGTTTTGTCTCAACACATCCGCGTTTATGTTCTGAGAACATTGTTTTTTGCTCCTAGAACATCTCTGGGTTCTGCGACAACTTCGTGCTGGGCCTGTAGGGCTGCCGGGACGGGCGGCCCCTGCCCAAAAGCATCGATGCCGTGGCTCGTGGAGGGCTCGGGGCGTGGCCTGTCCGCTCTCCTCTTCCGAGCGCTGGGGCGCCGCCCGAGCGCTGGGGCGCCCCATCTCTCAGGATCTCGGGGGCGGCAAAGCTCAGGAGGGGAAAGAACACACAGACACAATGAATCCTCGATTCCCAGGAAGAGATGGGAAAATATGGGAAGTGGGGGGGAAGACAGAAACATGGGGAATCTTTTTATTTGTGTGTATTTATTTGTGTGGCCTGGGGCCCCTTCAAAAGCTCGGGCCGGGCGAAAGGGGAGGATTGGGAAAGGGGGGGGTACGAAATCTGCTGCATGCAGCTGGTTTCGGCCCCGCCGCCGGGCCCATTCCTTGATATACATGGGCGCCTCCCGGCGCCGGGAGGCGCCGGGAAGATCAGCTGCGTGAGCTGAGTCTCACCCCCCCACTTTGCTATCCCCCCCGAAAAGAGGGGGGTGATGACTAGGGTTATGATACTCCAACCTACTTTAGCCTTGATCACCAGGAAGAACTTCGAGCGCCGAAAGAAGCACCGAGGCTCAAGGGTTTTCACGTGTCGGGCCCTGGGAGACACTCGCCCGACACTGTTTCGACACTGTTTCGACACTCATTTTGACACTTTTCTGGGTGCTCGAAATTATTTATGGGATGTGGTCCTTAAGTAGGATGGGAACAACAGAAGGCTAGAGGGGGGTGGATATCATGGCGGGGGCCATGACATTCCCCCAGATTTCCTGGCGCCCCTTCTTGTTTCAGTACGTCCCTGGCCCCCCCGCTGGGCCGCGCACATGCCGCCGGTCATGATTTGCACCCCCCCTCTTGGACACCCCCCTCTTGGCCGCCCCCGACAATCGATCCAGCTCGAAGAGTGCCGCCAAAGGATCGCGTCTGCGGCTCTGGTCGTGACTTTTGGCAGGGCTGCATTCCTGGCCGCCACGCCGGATCTCCGGGCTCGCGCGGACCCCTCCGCGGGGTTGCTTTCGGACCAGGGCTCCGCGGCGGAGCGCGCCGTGGCGGCGAGGAAGGGCCCAGCGCTCTGGCCAGGGCCCAGCGCCCCGCCGCGGCGACGAGGGCCCTCCAGGACGAGCAGCGGCGCCGGCACCTCGCCCCTCCCCCGAAGGAGGCCCGCAGGGCGGCGGCGAGCAGCTCGGCCGCGTCGGCCTCTGGGGGGCCGCGGGCGGCGAGCCCCTCGGGCGGCTCCCCCGCCGAGCCGCGGGCCGCGGGCTCCTCGGGCGCAGCGGCGCCCTCCGAGGCCGCGGCGGCGCCGCCCGAGCGCGCGGCCGCCGCGGGCGACGCCGCGGGCGACGGCACGAAGCTCTCGCGCTGAGCCGCCGCGCCTCGACGCCGCGGCCAGGCCGCGCACCCGCCCAGCGGGCGCGGGGGCGGGCCGCCGCGCCGCCCCGCGGGGCGGGCGCGGGCGTGCGCCTGCCGCCGCGGTTGGTGCGGCCCCGGCCGCGCGGCACGCGCCCCGCGGCGGCACGGAGTGCCCGGGCGGCGGCCTTCGGCGGGAGGCCTTCGGCGGGAGGCCCCCGGCCGCCGTCGCGCGGCCCTGTGCGGCCGCCGGAGGCGCGGCGGCGCGGCGGCGCCCGCGGGCAGCGTGCCTGGGCCACCTGCTGAGGCGGGCCTTGATATGAAGGGCCACCGCCTGGAGGAGCAGTTCTCGGGGTCCTCGGCAGGCGGCGGTTATGGATATCTATATTTATATATCTATGTATATATCTATGTATACATACACACATATATGTATATGTATATGTATATGTATATGTATATGTATATGTATATGTATATGTATATGTATATGTATATGTATTTGTATATGTTCATATATATATATATATCTATATACCGTAAGGGCTTTGCCCCCTGCCGCCGGCCCCCTCTCTCGGAGAATGGGCCATGGAAGAGCTAAGTCATGAGGCCTTGGCGCTGTCGTGAAGCAGTATCGAAACTTCATGCGAAGACGATTCGCAATCAGCAAAACCAACTGATCACAAGAGGGGTTACCACACCTGGCGATTGGTAAGACGTGTATGGTTTACGGGCTTGGTTACCACACCTTGCGATTAAAGGGCCGAGGGAGTTCTCGCAGTTCGGGTTACCACGCCTTGCGATGGATGTGCGTGAAGGGTGGCACCGAATTTCAGAAATGTGGCAAATCCCCTGTGTTTTTGGACCCTGACCCCGCGGATCTGCGTAAGGGGTGGCGCCGAATTTCAGAAATGTGGCAAATCCCTTGTGTTTTTGGACCCTGACCCCGCGGATCTGCGTGAGGGGTGGCACCGAATTTCAGAAATGTGGCAAATCCCATGTGTTTTTGGACCCTGACCCCGCGGATCTGCGTGAGGGGTGGCACCGAATTTCAGAAATGTGGCAAATCCCCTGTGTTTTTGGACCCTGACCCCGCGGATCTGCGTGAGGGGTGGCACCGAATTTCAGAAATGTGGCAAATCCCGTGTGTTTTTGGACCCTGACCCCGCGGATCTGCGTGAGGGGTGGCACCGAATTTAGACATGTGGCAAATCCCTTTTGTCTTTGGACCCTGGACCCCCTGCGGATCTAGTCGTGAGGGGCTGTCAACACGAATTATCAGGAAAATGTGGCAAATCCCCTGTGTTTTTGGACCCTGACCCCGCGGATCTGCGTGAGGGGTGGCACCGAATTTCAGAAATGTGGCAAATCCCCTGTGTTTTTGGACCCTGACCCCGCGGATCTGCGTGAGGGGTGGCACCGCATTTCAGAAATGTGGCAAATCCCCTGTGTTTTTGGACCCTGACCCCGCGGATCTGCGTGAGGGGTGGCACCGAATTTCAGAAATGTGGCAAATCCCATGTGTTTTTGGACCCTGACCCCGCGGATCTGCGTGACGGGTGGCACCGAATTTCAGAAATGTGGCAAATCCCATGTGTTTTTGGACCCTGACCCCGCGGATCTGCGTGAGGGGCAATTCAGACAACGCGCCCAGGGGACGCTAAAAAGCCGGTTTGGGCCTCCCCCCCCCTCGCGCGGTCAATCAACTAGTTACAGTAACCAGCAATAAGCAGAACTGCAACACTGGAAACTACAAGCTACAACTGGTACAGGAAACTGCGAATCCCGCTCCTCGCAGCCTGGTGGCCCCACAAGGGGGCCGGCGGATATATATATATATATATATATATATGTATATATATATATATATGTATATATATATATATGTATATATATATATATATATATATGTATACATACATATATATATAAAATATATATATATAAATAATATATATAATATTATATACACATACAACACATATATATATATATAGTATATATATATATGTGTGTGTGTACGTATGGTAATATAATATATATACATTAAAAAAGAAAAAAAAAAAACCGGGGGACAGGCCCCCGGGGCCCGAAAAAACAGCTGCCTCGACGCGTCCCATGGGAAGGACGCGGGGGCATTTTTTATCCTTGTTGTTTTTTTTTTTTTTTTTTTTTATTTTTTGTGTGTTTTTTTTTTTATTTTTACAGGGTTTCTTCCGCGTCCCCTGGGCCTCGGAGGCCGCCGCCTCGCGACCCCCCGTGGGGAGACGGGCCGGCCCGGCGAAGAAAAGCTGCGAAACTGCCTTCACGACGTCCCCGACAGGCCAACCACGAGATCCAAACCAACACCCATGAGGCCTCTTACCCACCACCCAGGGCACGGTGGCGGGAGCAGTGACAGCACTTGTGCACAGCATGTTCCGGCGGGAGCCTTCCAGAACACGCTGCAGGAGGAGGAGGAGGAGGAAGATCAGGAGGAGAGAGAGCTGGAGTGGGAGGAGGAGGAGGGGGACGAGGAGGAAGAGGCCTCCAAGACAGCTCCAAGATAGCCGAAGAGGCTTCCAAGAGGGCCCTGGGCGGCCCACGAGGGCCCCAAGGCGGTGCCTGAGGCGCCCAAGACGGCCCGAGAGGGTCCCAAGACGGCCCCAAGAGAGAGAAGGGAAACACGAACCGAGAATCCGAGCTTTCTACCCCGAGAGGTTCTCGGGAAGTCCCAAGAGGCCCCAAATCGGATCCAAGAGGCTCCCAAGAAGTTCCCAAGAGAGCCGACGAGGTTCCAAGAGATCTCCCAAGGTGGCCCCAAGAGGCACAACTCATTGTTTTACGATTGGGCTTTGACGAGTTTTAATTTTTTTCGGCCTTTTGGCATCCCGATTCTCCAAGACGGCCCAAGAGGCTTCCAATACCGCTCCAATATAGAGGAAGAGGCATCCAAGAGGGCCCCAAGACGGCCCGCGAGGGCCCCCAGGCGGTGCTTGAGGCGCCCAAGACGGCCCGAGAGGGCCCCAAGAGCCCCAAGAGAGGCCCAAGAAGGGGAACGCGACCCAACAGCAGAGCGTTCACCCCAAAAGGCCCACAGGAGGCCGCAAGAGGCCCCGAAGTGGTCCGACGAGGACCCCAAAAGCTTCCCGAGGGCCCAAAAGGCCCCTAGGAGACGTCCAAGAGGTTTTAAAATAGCCCAAGAGTGCCCTCGATGCGTCAAAACTGCTTCCAGGAGGCTCCCGGGAGGCTTCCGGATTGCCTCAATCTGGCCGCAGGTGGCCTCAAGTCGGGCCTCCACGCAGCCAAGACGGCCAATGACGGCCTCAGACGCCCTCCCAAGAAGCACCCAAGAGGTGCCTCCAACAGCCAGTTGACGAAGCATGCGGAACACCCCAGAAGCTCCTCAGATGCCGTCGCGCGCCTGTGCTTGATAGCGTTGTCCAAGATCGTCCAGCGCCCCCCCGGCCTGGGCTAGAACCTGAGCGCGCGCTCAGGATGACCTGGACAGTATGCCCGGGCCCGGGCATATTGTCCTGGCCTGGGCATACTGTCCTGAGTCCTGGCTGGATGAGCATCTAACCCAAATCCACAATTCCCGGATTCCTTGGGGCTTTCGGAGACTCCGCAAAAACGTTAAGAAGCGGCGAGGCGCGGTACCAGCCAGATGTCAGGGGATACCCTCCCTCTCATTCTTCCAGACCTTCCGTGCTGACCTTCCACCCTCTTGCGCTACCTCAAACGCTGAGTTATCTTGAATTGCGTAAGGTTTACAATGGTTATAACGAATTGTTTGAGGTTCCAGCGAGTTCCCGAAAAACGCAAAGACATTCTGAGACACCGCTCCTTCTCTCTTGTTTCCGCCGCCATCACAGCCTTCACCCTCATCATCATCCTCATCATCAGCATCATCATCATCATCATCATCATCATCATCATCATCATCATCACAATCATCATCATCCTCATCATCATCATCATCAGCATCAGCATCAGCATCAGCATCAGCATCAGCATCATCAGCACCATCACCATCACCATCACCATCACGTCACGATCATCGCCAGTATTGCATTCGAGTGCTTTACTGCGCACTGCATCTCTAGGACGCATTTTCTTAATTAGCTGGTCGTTGAGGACCTGTCTGGGGGATGCGGGGCGGAGCGAGCGACCTCCTCAACCCCTCGCTCCTCCCCGCATCCCCCAGACAGGTCCTCAACGACCAGCTAATTAAGAAGATGCGTCCTAGAGATGCAGTAGCAGTAAAGCACTCTGGTGCAATACTGGCGATGATCGTGACGTGATGGTGATGGTGGTGGTGGTGATGGTGATAATGGTGATAATGGTGATGATGATGCTGATGCTGATGCTGATGATGATGATGCTGATGCTGATGATGAGGATGATGATGCTGATGATGATGAGGGTGAAGGCTGTGATGGCGGCGGGAACAGGAGAGAAGGAGCGATGTCTCAGAATGTCTTTGCGTTCTTCTGGCACTCGCTTTAACCTGATACAAGCACTTGAAGGTAGCGCAGAAGGTTGGAAGGTCATCATCATCACCAGCATCATCAGCAACAGCATCAGCAACATCATCAGCATTAACATCATCATCATCAGTTGCCAGTCGCATGTTCTTATCCAGGGTCTTAAGGTTCAGGGTTTAGGGTTAAGGGTTTGAATGCGCCACATGCGTCGACGTATGGCGTCGGGTAGGGTGTCGACGTAGGGCGTCGGGTAGATCAACCAAGACTTGAGCGTATTGTGTTGCAGCCAGTCTGGACCCCAAACGGCGTCATCTGGATATATTGTTATGTACTCGGTGGTGCAATCTATGTGGTGCAATCTATGTGGTGCAATCGTGCACGTGAGACACACGCTACACTTGACGCCGTCGCACCCGCAATGTGCGAACCGACGTGGGCGACGACGGGCGACCCCGCACCGACGCGCGCCAGCCCGCGCATCAC